TTCTATAGTGTCGAATGTTACTCACGCAAGTTATAATACAATTATGGCTATTATCGCAATCCCCAAGACATTCAATTACGTTATGGGTCCAACCGTTTATTGAGCTTTAAATTCACTCCGTTCATCAGGACTCTTACAGAAAGTGTTAAAAAAGTCCACCCTCCGCTGCAATGCCTATCGAAAAGCGTTCTTTCAAGATAGACAATTGTTAGTTGATCATTACTTGCAAAACGTTCGCACGGGTGGTGGCGATCCTCTCTATCAAGATATCGACGCTGGTCCGCTCAGATGGTATACACTTTGTATTTGACTCAGTCCCAAAGTCCAGTGGAGATAAATGTCTGACAGCCGAGTTGAATCGGCTGTCAGGAGCTTATGTTGTACTTATGATTAGTCGTTTTTACTTCACCATAACTTCCCTGCTTAAACTCCACCCGGCAATGCCTTTACATAAATAATTAAAACAAACCCTTTGTTTTTCACATCACAATCATGACCAGCATTGCTCATGCTGGTTATGATCGTGATGTAAATCACAGACTTTCTGAGCATAAAGCTGTAGTTGTAACGCTTAATATACGATTATATGTCTCGCACGCTAGCCAATGGAAGTTGTTGCTGTATTTTATTTCAATAGAGCCGATCTTGATGAGTATAGTTTTAGGCTTTCATAATCTTGAAGCATTAAGCCGTGTTTCAGATGTTGATTTGTTAATTAGCAAATTGTGCTTTATAGTTAGTGACTGCATTAAAACTTTGTTTCCGTGAAATCAATAAAAATCTAGCTATTGAATTGCTAAAGTGTTGTTGCAGTTACCATGACGTTTTAAAAGAAATAAGAACTTGTTGAAGCAAAGAATTTACCTTCTTGAAGTATCCCGGTTTCAATGTTTCAAAGATATTTTATATGTATATTTTAATATTACCCTACCTCAGTTTATAAAGTCGAATTCGGTCAAATTTTAGAGATTTATACTTCCCAGGAAGAACGGTTCTCGTAGTTATATTATTCGGAATGGATATGTCACCCTTCCTGTAGGCATTTTGAATAGCTTCATTAAATGTTTTCAATGTATTCATTGAAAAGAGTGGTTGCGAACCAAGTTTTTATTTTAATATTGAGTGTTTATGGTCAGAAAACGTCTTGTTTAGTGTTTCTCGGGTTCATAATAACGGTTGCATCTTGACTGCAATTTGACGTCCCGGCCCCAATGGTAAATACCCATTAGTTTTTGAAAGACACTCTGTGTGGACATCAAGATGCTTAAATGCAATTCTCGATGTCTTTTTCCCCTGGAAGTGTACCTAAACTTTGGAAATAAGCCAGAATAGTTCTCATATTAAAATCGGAGAAAAAAAAAAGCCTCATGAAAACAGACCCATTTCATTAACATCTAAGTGCAACAAGCTCCTGGAACATATTGACTATAAGCATAACGCCGAGTATGTTGAATGTAATTCAATACTCTCTCCCCGACAGCATGGCTTTCGTCGTCATTTTCAACTATAATGCAAATGCTGGAATTAATCCACGGACTGATTTATTTCAAATAGAAAAGGTAAATTTGCTGTTAGTTCCATACGCCATGCTAACGGGTTTATAAAGTTTCGCACCCTAAGTTACTTTTGAATGTAAAATTTATCCTTCAAAAACAATTTTTACTGAACTGGGTCACAGATTACTTAGAAGACAAGACCGAGTGTATTTCTTTTGAAAACACGCCTCTTCGAAAGCGTTGGGTAGCTCAGATGTATAACAAATGTGCTAGGACTTCTTTTGTTTCTTCTTTTTATTAACGAGACTGTTGTAAATATAGCAGTTAAAATTTGTCTTTATGCCGGCGATTGTGTCTCATAGAATAACATCACTTCTGTAAGTGATGAACGGTTTGTTAACAAATACTCTGTGCGCTCCTTTACTAAAGCAAAAAATGGCGAAACTAAATCAAGCCTGCATATATTTGGATTGCGCACAAGACATCTTTGGTTTTTAACCATGACATCAATGAAACAATAGGAATGAGGTTAAAGTGTGTAAATCTTTAGCCGCAATCATTACTCCTAAACTCCCCAAAACTAAAAAAAAAATAGGCAAAAGTCAAGTGTTTACACAAAAACTCTACGAAAACGAAGCGTCGTAGAGTGAAAAGTTTCCGCTTTAGGGATGCAGCACCTTTCTCCACGAATTCAAAATAGGACAATATGATCAGTCGCTTCCTTAGAAAAGTAGGGTATGTAAAACTCACTTTAATTAAAATTAATTGTCTATAAAATTTTAGTTAGGACAATTTTAAAAAGATATATATTGTTTGGGACTTTTATTTGAAAAGCAATGTTAATCATTTCTATTCAGCTCAGGCTAAGGGAATCATACTTATTTTTAATAGGTAAGAAAGACATTTCGCTTCTTTCACCGTAATGACATCTATGGGACTCGAGTCACTTACTTTTCGATACACTATAATGCTGCTAAAAATGTCGCATAAAATTGTGAGTGAGAATTGTGGCATTGAGCGTTCTAAATGCAAGTACCTCTCCCTAGGGTGACCACCCGTCCCGCGACTCGCGGGGCTGTCCCGCATTGAGGGCTCGTGTCCCGCGTCCCGCGAGAAAGTCCCAAATCTACAAAATGTCCCGCATCTCACACTGTCGTAAAATTCACTCCGCAACTCATGGTGCTGCCGAAAAATTGGGCACGGGGAAGTGCGGAGGTCGCTAGTAAATTGTGGGAATCAAAATGGTACGCCATTATCTATGATCTATCCAAACATTGCGGGAAGCGACGGTCGTTCTTGCAAGAGGACCGACGCGCATGCGCCGTTGTGCCTCTCCCTTTGGTGGGAAAATATTGTACGAGAAAGTTCTCGCCAAAAGTTTAAATATAAAAGTATTGTAATTATTTTCAAATTGCCGTGCCAATGCGAAAGGTGTGCGGTGAATTTCTTTTTTTTAGTGAAGGCAGCCACACATCCAACAGCCGAAAAAGAACATAATGTTAAAAAATTGTGTAGGACCATGTTGATAAAAGTAAGCGTGGACAGGAAACAATAACTAGAAAAATATTTACTGCTTCTTATTTCCGTTTGATGCATTGAGTTCTGGTACAGTCGATTATTATGTTTTCAACTTCGGCACATGTAATACCATCTGTGGCATTCAAAATAATCTACCACTGGTAGTGAAAATTATTTGAGCTTAATCGCTGCAATACAAGTAGCAGCTGTATAAACAGTACGGGATAATAAATGTGTTAACAGAGCCCTGGTTCGTTCTGTGCGTCTTACTAGATCTGCCCCCCCCCCCCCCCCCCCTCTGTCCCGCGTGTCCCGCATTTCACTAGCTGGAAGGTGGTCACCTTACCTGTTCCCCATCTGACGCACTAGACAATTTCATTATTTAAACATCGTGCCATATCAGTTTCATAATAATTTTTAATATATATCTTGACGTGTGATTGAGCTTTAGAACAACATGGACGGACGTAGTAGGCGCATAATTGCAAACAATGATTTTATTTCAGCGATAATGAAAATATGTTTTTCTTAACGTGTTACTGTTTTCAATTGTTATTTTCCAAAAGTTTTTTGTTTAATATTACTATAATATATTTTAATACAAGGTAAAACAGCACAAAAAATGAGACAAAAGTAAGAAGGAAGGTCGAGACACAGCATTAATCTTCAGCTAAATGTTTATTCAAGCGAAGTAGGGAAAAAAACACTAACGATGGAATGGGAGAAGAAGACAAAATAACAGAAAAAATATTCCTATCGCGTCATATCACCTTTATGTAAACCAGCTAAATTTCTTGATAAAGCCTGCTTGGTCACTCCCCAGCAATACCTCTTACGGCCCGAATATCCATCGAGACTGAATATCCATCGAGACTGAATATCCAACGAGTACAAAGATCCAGTTGTTCACGGAATAGTATCCAACCGAGACGGAATGTCCCTGGAGTCTAAATATACAACCAGCCGGAATATCTACTAGTGAATATTTCAACTCGTTGGCTGTTTTCAGTTTGTTGGATATTCAGGCTCCGAATCTAGCGATGCTGATAACGTGCAAACGCTTAAATCATTCCAACTCGCTAAAACAATTACAGGAGAACACAAACCTTGAATGCCCCGCCGACTTCCCTGACGAAGTATCTGATATGACGCGTTGCAGCCATTTTAATTGTCGATTATTTAAACGCCTGTTTTTCGCGGTCAAAGCCAACGCCGCCTGCGCTCGATAAGACAAAACGCTTCCGCATTAAAAAAAAAAATATATATCAGTTTCTATTTGCGATCTTCTTTTTGGCTTCTCGCCAAGGTCTTTAAATTTGTGAATGAAGGAACGCAGCTGCACCTAATGCATTGCACCGCAAGATGACCTGCAGGTGAGGGGCGTGTCCCTTCATTTACTGATACAAAGAGTTTGGTGCTGAACAAAACACGGCAGAAAAAAAGATTGATGAAGAATTTTTATTTTTATTGAGTGGTTATGACCTATTCATTACCGCACGATTTGTATCGGTGAGGAGTGCCAAAACAGACTTTATCAAGAAATGTAGAAGATTGGTACGAAGGTGATATGGCGCGGTAGAAATATTTTTATTGATTAGTTTGTGTCTTCTTTTCTCTGCCCCTCCTGCTTGTTTTTCGAGTTCGCTAGAGTAAGCCTTCAGTTGAAAGTCGGCACTGTGTTTGTGCCTCCCTTGATTATTGTGTGTCTTTTTTCCCTGCGGGTTTACCTTGTAAGGTGATTAATTATCTCAGCAAGCTTTCTGCCTTTTCAAGCTGTTGTAACCCCGCTCCTTAAATGACCTCGAATGAGGTCCCAGTACGTACAAATAAGTTAATTAATAGCTGCATCAATTATACATTTTAAGCGCATACACAAATTTGGTGTTATTTTAATTCTCCCATCTGTGTACCATCTCTCTTCGAAGGGAAATTGGAAACCCAGTTAACAGCATCTCGTCGGTATGGAGTAATAGCTTGATTACTTACATTTCACATTATAGAACGAAGCAATCAAAATTAAGCATTTCCTGTAGTCCGTAAAAAGAAGTCGGGAGTTTTCCCCTTGAAATCGCTGAGCCTTCCACCCTAAAAAATATAAATAATTATTTACTTATGTGTTCTTGCATTAAGCACGAAGATTTCTTTTTTTTTAGTTAAGCCATAATTATTTGTTTATTTATGGAGCAAGAGGGCAATACGGCAAGCACCCTATTGAACGCGTACGTGTTCGATTGTCAAATTGAGGTCCACGATCCCTTTGGGCTTCTTGGAAGCCTCCTTAGGATCCCCAAGACCTTGAACGGAGCAATAAAGTGGATACATATATATGCAGGAAATTCCACATAATTTCGACAAAGGTTTGGAAAAATTTTGATTCATTTTAGGAACACGAAACCAAACGAATAAAGTTGTTCATTATTTGGAGCAAGTCAGGCTATTTTTGTATTTTGCCCAATTAACTAATTAATTAGAATTATGAATGAGCTTTTAAATATTCAATTTAGAGCAAAAGTTCCAAGGACAAAGTTTTAGAGCGTCCTCAGAAGCGTTTAATTCAGTGGTTTTCATAAAAAAACCTTTAACACGGTTAACGTTTGCGGGCTTCAAATAAAGTACCCGTTTTATATATAAAAAAAACACAAACAATGCAAATTTGTCAACAGTGCTCTATTAAGCATGCAGGTCTAGTTTATTCAAGCAACAGATGAGAGCAATGCAATACGAAGTGCACATGCGCAAAGTCACACGTTTTTTCACGATTCACTAATTTTTTTAAAGCCCGTTAAAACAAAAAAAGTGCTAATGTTCTTTGTAAAAAAACAACACTGAATTGGATTTCTTTAAGGACACTCTACAAATTCGTCATCGGAGCTGTTTCTGTAAATTTAATATTTCAAAAGTTCAATAATTAATCTTAATTAATTAGTTAATTGGGCAAAATACAAAAATAGCCTGACTTGCTTCAAACAATGAAAAATGTATTCGTTTGCTCTCTTCTTTCTAAAATACACCAATTATTTTACACCTTGCCTCAAGTTACGTGAAATACCTTATATATATATATATAGGGAGTGAGGGAAACTTGACAAGTCCAGCCCTAGTAGTATTGTAAAAAAGAGGGGAGCGAGTAATTATTAAATTTGTTACATCAAAGTTAAGGGAAATGGAAGAGAAAGAGAATTGGCAAAAAATCTATTTTCCTTCCCTTAACTTTGATGTAATTTAATAATAACTCTCTTCCTTCTTCATTTACTCCGGCCAAAACGTCAAAGATTAAATCGTCCGTTGTTGCTGTTTTTCACTAAGGGTTTTTTTCTTCTCAGTTTTATACCCACGCCTTCGGCCTCCCGCCACCATGCCCGTTATATACATATATATATATATATATATATATATATATATATATATATATATATATATATATATATATATAATTTTTTTTTATTGATGCTGCCCGTTTTGCAAGTGCACCGAGCGAGTAGGGTTGATTAGTCTATGTTGAAGAGCTCCAAACTTAGCTTGCATGCATTTAGTTTTATTTAGTTACCCTTTTTCCATCCTGATTGTCTATTATTCCTCCTCCTTCTTGGCGGAGGGGTGCCCCATCACCTCCGCCGATTTAGAAGGAGTCCTCGGAAAATCAAAGGTTCAGAACCACTGATTTAGAAAATAAAATAGCATTGCTTAACATGAAGATTAGCTTAAGGGAAACTAAAGCTTGATATTGTGTATTAAATATTTGTGACTGTGGGAAGAAATTTGCCACTATTTGAGCATTTTATGTGCCTCAGTTTTATCATATGTGGTGTACATTTAACAAGGATAAGGCCACGCTTTTTGTATCTCTATACTGGATGCACACATCAAGTTACAGGCAGTATAAAAGGTTATCTTTGTCACACTCTGCCGCAGAGGCCAACCATGAGTTAGATATAATTTCCGTAATTACTACCTGAGTTAAATCCTACGTATAGAAACCTTCTGGTTTTCCAGTTCTGATCGCATCCATGAAGCTACCAAAAGAACTAAAACAATGTATCAACACTATGTTCGTACCAACTATGTCGGCCTGTGCACCTGTACATCGTATTAACTGTCAAACCTGTCGGAAAAATTAGAAGATTAAAAACGTCTCATCGGGTGCGCTACCTATATTTCGTGGAATTCGTAACGTGGAAAGTTGCTTGGTTTTGTGATCTTCAAGAGCATCCACAACATCTTTACCATTCCGCGCACTGAAATGAAAATACAGGAAAACCTGTCAGAGCACCCTTCCCTGTTGGTGTGTAAGAGTTCAGCAACCCAATTAAGCAATATAGGTGATGTTCAAACTCCTTGGTAGAATACGGCAGTATTCAAAGAAATTTATTTTAAATTTTGCCACATAGTCAAAACGTTACCAAAATAACTTCTATGCTTAAAAACAAAACATGATTTTGTAGGGTGTCAATCAACGCTAATGCAAATTTGATGCCGAATCACAGAACGGACCGCGTTAGGTAACTCCTCCCTCAAAATAGCAGGCGTGGCCTCGTGAGAAAGTGCTGATATCAACCTTCGTTCAGCTGCTTCACCATAAATTCACTTAATATCCACATCTTTCAGAAGGGAAGTCAAACCAAAATAATTTAATTTCCAAATAACTCAATAATGAAGTTCAAAAGCACTCTAGCATCACACATCCCCGGCTCAATATTGGGCCAGTTTGGCGCAATCTTGTGCCAGACTTGAGGCAAGTTGGCTCTGGCTCGCTCCAGTCCAGCCCAAGACTTGACTCGGAGGAAGTATGCTACTTGGGCTAGGGCATTTTCATAGGCTTTTTTGTTAGGGTTTCTATTATTCTGATTTTTGTTCACTTGCGTCAATCTGAGACGTTTAGCGTCCGGCATTTTAAGATTTAATAACTTGTGAAATGTGATTCGTGCTGATAACAAAGCGGAAATATATCGCAGTAACCACTCTGCAACTATATCTTCAAAAATATATATTAGCACTGAATAAAAGCATGCGTTTTTATTTGAATGAATTTTCGCATTAAATTCCATGTTTCGACACGCACATTCATATGTTAAAACGATGCTTTCTTTTAAAACACTCCCATAACCCACATCAAGTAGTTGCAGATTACTTTAAGCACGCCATATTGCTTTCACGCTTACAATGTCACGCGTATCTTCAACCATTTGTACAAGGTTTTTATTGTGTTAAAAACGTCGCCGGAGCTGTGTGATATATTTGACATAAACAATGACATCTAGAAACAACATTTTCCAGCTGGAAATTAAAAAAAAAAGGTCTGTAGGAATGTGTACCGAGGCTGCACTACTTACATGCAGTTTCCTTTCAAATCAGTGTCAGATATAGACATATTGACCTTCTTAGTTGCATTATTGAACGAGATGACTTCAATCTTGCAAATTGACCTTCCAGTGTGGGGTGTCGTCAAAGCCAAATGCAGCGATGGCATATCTTGCAAAACCTAAAAAGAGTGGATATCCTGAACAGAGTAATAACAGAAAAATAGAACGAAGGAAACTTCATTATGCGTCAGATTACTCTGAATGTTCCGAAGGTTAGAAAAATAACAAATTATACGGGAGGTGCGTGACGCTGGTTTGCGATAGTGTGCAAAACTAATTCATGCTGTTGTTACAAATGCTTTCTAGTACAGGAAGAGTGCCAGTCTGGGGTATTTAACGTGCATCACATGGTAGCGATACAAGAATGCACGCAGGAGCGATCACTAACAAACTAAAATGGGTAGGGATGGGATTAACCATTGATGCCTGTTTTTCTCAGAGTTAATTTTGGGCACGACCCATTTGAAGCTGCGAAGGATTAACACACTTTCATGAAATGATAAAATGGTAATATCATTAAAGATAGCAACCTTGTTCTGTTTATATTTGTAAGCCGAATAACTTTAGATTCGCCTGCCTGATTCCCTCTGCTTCGTTGAAATTTGTATTAGGATGCCAAAAAAATGTATCATCTGTATAGCTTGAGCACATATTTAGTTTCAGCACTATATAAGGCTTTATGGTATTCAATTGTTGTACAGATAAAAATCTTATCTCACACTTTTTTACCTAAGACATGATGAAAACAATCAGAATTTTTGTATGTGTATTTTAAATAATGTAACTGATGCTGCATTTTAAAGCTAACCTTATACCCACTCTGCAATATGGAAAAAAACTGGTGACTCCCACCGCACTGATGGCAATTCAGGGCAAGGCTTCAATATTTTAATATACGACGGATTATACAAACTACCAACGCTTATAATTGCGCCACTTTTTTGTTCTCGGTTTTTCATTGTTATAAGATTATAACATTGCGATTTGGGCAAAGCAGGGATATAGTTTAGCTGGATAATTCAGGCCTCTTAACTGAACTCTAGATTAAAATTATAAGTTTCATTTAAAATAAAATGGCTCACTCGAAGGTTTCGATACGTGCAAAACTATGCGCTGTCGTACGGCAAAAGGAATCTATATTCCTTTTGTTACATTAAATTTTTAGCTCTATCTATATACTCTTTAGTCGCGTACTTAGTCGGAGCATCGGAAAAAGAGTTTGTGCAATATGAACTCATAACTAACGCTTTGCATATAAATACAACTCAGTAAACTCATTTTCTTGGACCCGAAAATGAGTCCAAACTGTAGCTGACTAGCACTAGCAAACCAAGTTTGGCTAAATGGTGGAAAAGTATGAATGCTGCTGTTAGATATAATTTCTTGCGCCAGGAAAGCTGCGTATCTTGACATTAGTTCTTTTTTGGAAGCATACACATTTTATAGAGTTTGAATTACAAGAAAATAATTTACGCTACCTGTGCAGATAATGACGGCCACGTTTCGACTTGCGGAGAAGGTTTATCTTTCAATTAGAAATGCAATATCTGAATGGCAAGGTTCATATCGTGTAGCAAGACTTCAATTATCACTGCGCGTGTGCCAGAACAAAAAGGCTGCAAGTCTGGGGCCTTTAGCGTGCATCACATGGTAGTCATAGACGAACGCACGCCTGAACGATCACTAACAAACTAAAGACCGGTCGGGCTGGGAAATAAACGTTTGGTGCCTGTTTTCTGCAGCGTGAGTGTTTAACTCTACATTTTCCAAGCTGCAAAGCCATAGCAAACTTTGATGTGATTACGAAGAGATGTGATGATGAAAACTTTAATCAATTGTAATTTTCCTCCTATTTCAAAGCCGAATAACCTTAGATTAAGCTACCTGGTTCTCTCTATCTCTCTCTAACTTATATTAGTATGCGATTTCGTAGTATTTTGTAGTAAGTCAATTTCGAACTCTTTCAAAAGTGTTTAGTTTTCTTTCTAAGTAAGGCTTAAGGGTATTTAGTATTTTATTCTCAGGGCATTTTGTTTGACATTTTCTTGACATTTTGACAAATTGTGCACGACAGTGGAATGCTCCTTGCGATATTTGAAATGTTCTAGCTTTTTCTGTGCAATTATGAGTGGCGTACTCAGGTGGAACATCGGGAAAAGAATTGGTGGAATGTGGACAGATAAATAACGATTTGCATAGAAAAATAACTTTCAGGAAACTTTTTTTTTGGCGACTGAAAACCGGACAAATTTCTGAGACTTGCGTAGCGAATTCAGTTCTGCTAAAGGATGGAAATACACTAATACTGCTATTAAATTTATTATTCATGCCCTTTCAATTTCGGTTTCTTGACCCTAGTTTTTTGGAAGCATACATTTTGCACGAGTAGTCTGACAACAAAAGAAATAACTTTCTCTGTTACGCCACACGGACAGATCATGACGGCAACCTTTCGACTTCGTAAAAGGGTGACCCTCGGTGTGACCATAATATAGTTTAATGTAAAAATGTATACACCATGCCAAGAGTTTAATTATCACACCAAATGTGCCAGAAAACGAAAGACGAGGGAACCTTGCCTGAGATATGTCAAGTATTTTATGAGAAACCATCTGGACGGGAGAATGGTCGAAGCACTGCATTGTTTTGTAATCTAAATACACCGAATTGGGCTCCTGTGTCATTCCCAGGTATATAACGTTAAGGTTCAAAAATGCATTTCAGTCACCTAATCCCCGAGTAGTCCACACGCTTCTATAATGTCTGAGACGAGCGGTAGCAGATTAAGTTCTTATAAAGGAATGTATTTGTCACACCTATACGTAGCGAGAACATTGCTCAGTGGTGACTTAAAATTCACCCAAAAAGAAGTATATGAGAGCTCGCGTAAATTTAAGTGTGAAAGTATTGGTGATTGTTTATTGCGTGAAAGTATTGGTGCTTTTAGCAGTCATGTGAAGATCCTCCACATTCAAGCATATTATTTCCGCGCGCTTACGTAGCCGAGTCAGCAGCGCGCTGGGCTCACACGTTGGCGGGTCTGGTACGATTCCTGGCACTGCACGCCCTTTTACCTTTTCTAGGTAAGTCGAAAATTCTAGAAGATTAGAGAGCCGTCTAGCTTGCCTATGTTAAGAATGTATAGTTCAAGAAGGATTGAGGCACACTATTTGAAGTTTCCAGAAAGGCCCAAAAGAAGCAGCGCCGCGCCATATGGAGTCAGTCTCGCCCCAGCACCCTATCCTGCTCTTACGCTGCCATCGACGCCCGCGACGCTAGCCTTTTTCTATTTTATTTTGGGCACAACTTCGCCCTCTCAATCGTTTAGTTTCCTTCAGTTATTGGCGCCTTATGGATTGTCACTCGTGACATTTTGGTGTAGGCGCTGGGTAGGGACATCTGCATGACCGAGTTGAAGCGGACATTTACGAGCCAATACCGATGGCAGTGGGCGGGGGATCTGCTTCAAACACAGATTCAGGACCCCAACGAAAGCTAAACCAGCTTCGGATGTGCTACGGCCTGTTTTCAGATGAGTTCGACCGATCATGTCCGGTGACCATTTTTAATTTTTACGAAAAATTTTATTTTATAATGTCAATGCCACCAGAAAATACTGAAATCGGTCTTGAGAAGAAAAAAAAGTTTGTCTTCGCGGAAAAAAAATGTTTCACACTATCACTGCGAGGCGCTTACTGCGAATATCGCGAAGTTGGCAATTTGGAGAACCCTTCCAGAGGAACTGTTGTGGATACATGGCTATAAATATTTTCTGACAAACGACATAGAAATAGTAGTGACTCCAAATATTTATCCTTAAGCATTGATGCTGTTAATTTACAGAGCAAATTTACAAACACGGCACTTTCCGCAAAAATACTTACATTTTATATGTTTTTTTAGCTGAATCTCTAAATACTAGAACTTTCAAACTTTGCATGTTGTCCTGTATCTAGCCAATATTGACGCTAAATATTGTTGTCCTGGGTAGCTGCAAAATGTTATCAGAAACTCTTTAATGGGTACATTTTGATAATTAAATAGTAATTTTAAACTCAATTAACGAAAGGCCGTCTCTAAAATTTGTTCAACTCTCTAACATTAAGGCCAATGATAGGTACTAACATAATCTGCAAAAACATGTTGCATTATCTCTGTGTATTTGAAGTTATAAGGCAAGAAATATGACCAAATTAAGGCTACCGCTGCGCCTTAATTCAAATACGATAAATTTATTATCTTTACAAAAGGTAAAAATACTCGCGAGTGGTCAGAAAGAAACAAATTGACGGCACCGAGGCAGACGGTGGTCTGCCTCGGTGTCGTCAATAAAATGCCCGCGATCCTGAGCGATCGAGTAGCTTGCTTTCCAGGCCCTGTTTTCAAAGGCCGACGTGTACGTCACGTAAAGGAAGCGATCGGAGCAGCTCTGCTTAACACATGTTTATCCAACCTTTTTGCGAGGCGCTAACATGATATGACGCGACTGAACCGGCGGGCAACCTTTCGACATTGGAGCCGTCGCCGCGGGGGGCCTGCGGCTAACGCGGTTGAACTTTCCGGCAGGCGCCCATGAGGAAAGCGCAGACGGAGCGCGCACCACTCTAGCCAAAGCGCCATCGTATGTGCTTTGTTTAGTGTGATGACATCTGACTATATTGTTCTCGACACTTTTGTGTCTTTTTTTTTTTTTTGTTCTCGGACGCACGAAATGCCGTCCTGACTCTCCGGGCCAAAATGTCAGGTTTTTTTCCTCCTTGCACAGTCGCCTTCAGACGGATAACGAAGACTCAAAACCGTTCCAACACCACGGCGTATGACTGCGTTTATTGTCTTTAGGTTTGAACATATACCAAAAGGTCGCACAAAGCGAAGAGGAGACAAGTGCTGAAGGGTACCCCTTGTGTAAAGTTACTTTTATAATTTTTTGTCAGCTTTTTATTATATTTATTGTAGCGACTTCACGCGTATACACCATTCAGAAAAGCTGGTGGAAGCGAGTTTTTATTTTCGAAGTGGCTTCTTTGTAGACGCACCTCTTCCCGGCACCAGAAATTCGTGCCGCAGAAGTCCAGGGTTAAATTCCAGGCATGGGCCAGGTGGAATCCCAATCTCTCGT